TCTCATGACTTAAGCATCTCCCAAAGGCTCTACCTCCTAATGCCATCATCTTTGTGGGTAAGGATTTCAACACATGAATGGGGGTGGGGGGCGGGGCACAAACATTCAGACCATAGCACAATATGACTTGTGTCCTTATAAAAAGGGGAAATTTAGACACAGACATAGATATGCACAGAGGGAGGACTATTTGAAGAGACATAGGAGAATGCTATGTGAAGATTGTAGTTATGCTTCAGGCTATCAGAAGTTGGAAGAGGCAAGAAAAGGATCCTTCCCCTATAGGTTTCAGAGATAGCACTGTCAACACCTTTATTTTGGTCTTCTAGCTTCCAAAACTGTGAGAAATAAATTTCTGTTGTTCTAAGCCACTCAGTTTGTGGTACTCTGTTATGGCAGCCCTATGAAACTAATACACTTTGTATACATAAAATTGTCTTAATTTCACTCTTAATTTTAAATGACAGATTAGCTGTGCATAGAATTATAGATTGACAATTATTAAAGACATTTTTCCATAGTCTTCTGGCTTTTATATACTGATAAAAAGTCCTGTCAGGCTGCTTTTCGTGATTTTGTTAGAAATCATCTGTCTTTTCTCCGGTGTGTTTTAAGACATTCACTTTGTTTTGCGTTCTACCTTTCCACTTTGGTGTGTGTGTGTGTGTGTGTGTGTGTGTGTTTTCTTTATTTTTCCTGCTTGAGACATAATATGCTTCTTTAATCTGAGAATTCATGTTAATTCTGAAAAATATTCAACCAGTATCTCACAGAATGTTGACTCTCTGCCATTTTCTCTCATGACTCCTACTAGAACTCCCATTAGAAATGTGAAGCATCCATATCTCTTAGCCTCTATTTTACAGTTACTATCTATTTCCTGAATCTTGTGTAATTTACTCAATTCTTTCCACCAATTTACTAATTCTTTCTTCAACTATGTCTAGTTTACTGTTTAAACCATGCCTTGGGTTTTTATTTCAATAATTATTGTCTTTAATTCCTAAAATTCTATTTGACCCTTTCATGATAAAAACACTCAACAAACTAGGAATAGAAGGAAAATACTTTAACGTAATAAAAGCCATATATGAAAAACCCATAGTGAACATTATACTCAATGGTGAAAGACTGAAAGTTTTTCACTAAGATCAGGAAAAAGGCAAAGATGCCCACTTTTCTCACTTCTACTCAATATAGTACTAGAAGTTCTAGCCAGAACAATTGGGCCAGAAAAGAAATAAAAGGCATCCAAATTGGAAAAGAAGAAGTAAAATTATTTCTGTTTGCAGATGATATGATTTTCTTTTCTTTTTTCTCCCCAAAGCCCCCAGTTGTATATCCTAGTTGTAGGTCCTTCTAGGTCTTCTATGTGGGACACCGCCTTAACACGGCTTGATGAGCGGTGAGTAGGTCTGCACCCAGGATCTGAACTGATGAACCCCAAGCCACCGAAGCAAAATGCACAAACTTAACCACTGCACCACCAGGCTGGCCCTGCAGATGTTATGATCATATATGTAGAAAACCTTAAAGATTTCACAAAAAAAATTTTAGAACTAATAAATGTATTCAGTAAAGTATCAGGATACAAAGTCAACATACAAAAATCAGTTGCATTTCTGTATACTAACAATGAACAATTCGAAAAGGAAATTAAGAAAACAATTCCATTTACGATAGCGTCAAAAGAATAAAATACTTAGGAATAACATAACCAAGGAGGTAAAAGACTTGTAGAATAAAAAATATAAAATGTTGCAGAAGAAAATTAAAGAAGACACAAATAAATGAAAAGATA